TGTCCCTCTACAAAGGAAAATAAAATCGCAACATGATAAAGAGCACAAACAAATTTGGAAAAACTTCAAACCTTCGTCCACCCGCAATTTCCGTCCTGTTCGAATTCAATTTCAAAGTGAATCTGTTCAATCAACCCTAAATTTACTAGATTTTGGCTAGATTCTGCTGAGTCAAGCGATAAGGACGTTGACTACATCATACACAAAAGAACTAACGGGTCGCTACAAATCAGGACTTGGCTAAACCGATAAAGTAAATAAATTTTATTAAAATCAGTTTTTGATAACATTTATTAATTTAATATTATTAATAAAATTCGTTACCATCGGGGGTTGGCGGAGTGAAAAACGGGAGAGGCAGTTATACATAGGCAGTTGAAGTATTTTTCCGCTGTTTCCATACACGACCGATGATTGTGCATTGGTTGGAGGGATATTGAAGTGAGACTTCTTGTCCCTTTCACTAATTCAATGAGTACTGTAGGGCATTATAATATCGGTGAACGAGGCCTGCAACACGATATCTTTCGGTGTTGTGGGGTACTGTGACTACAGCCACCACCTCGACGGCCGTCGGTGCATTGTGGCGGCGCGGATGTTGGGCGCTCTGCGTGTATGATTACCTTCCAACTATCATCGAGCATGCTCAAATGGCGTACTTAAATTAATGGATCAAGAAGTTGTGGTTATGCAGGACCTGTTGAATTTGACAACAGTTGCTCACTCCACGTCTTCAACTATTTGGTCTATGAGTCTCCGCGTCGTCGTCTCCCATAAAATACACCTGTAATTTATTAGCAACAATCATCCTATTTTGTGATGTACTTAGCTTTGCACTGTGAACGTAGGGGAAAATAAAAGCAGAGTGAGAATTTGGAATGCCCCGAATGGCGTCATGTAAAAACATGCGTTGTATTTTTTACACGGTTTAGGAACTATCAGGTTTAATCAGTTTCACCTTTAAATTATGTTTTAAGGATTCCACAAATTCTTTAAAATAGAAATGAGCTCGAGCTTCTTGTGAGCTCTATGAAAGGTTTTGTTTTACGTTTGCGAGTCTTAATTATGTACGCAAAAAATGTCAAAAATATCTTAGTCCTAGAAATATGTATGAACTACCTATTAGTCTATCAAAATAGCTAAAAAACTTGAAGTTAAAATAATTACGCTACTAATAATTCTATATAAATCTAGTTGAATGATCAAACATAACTTAGTCAAATAATTATATTCAATGCAAAACTAATTGTTTTTCTCTATAACTTTTGTTCTTCTAACGGCACGGCAAATATATTTTGTATACATAAGTTCTTGAAATTAGTATATGGTTTAACATCATTTAAAAGGTTCACATCTACACCATATTCATAGTATCGTTATTTTAATGAAGTAAGTCGCAACTTTCATATAAATTAATTATGTGTACAAAATGAATTATTTGTTTTATAATGACTTTATTGTTTAGCATCATTTAAAAGTTCTCACCCGCACCGTATATTGACATAGACACCACTTACGCGGTTATGGCCGAGTTTACAACAATACCCCAGTCGTTCTTAATTTTCGCTGTTTGGCGCCAATCGGACATTAAAAGTGTATCCAGGCCCTTTTCCACCTGTTCTTTCTAACAGAGCAAGCTCTTCCTCTGCTTCCCCCAACGGGAACTGCTGCGAATACTTTCAGAGCTGGAGTGTTTTCATCGACGACGAGCGTCATATTTCATCGTACGCACACTAAAATAATTTTTTCCGTTTTCAATAGACTCAAATGCAAAAAGTTCTTCCACAAATTGATTAAAATAAAAAACAAAATATATTCCATAATTCAGTTGCGCAATTTTTTTTTCAAAATTAATGTAAAAATTTGAAAGTATACTAAATGTTCAAAGTTACTGTGTCATCCATCGTAGGGCACATTTTACTGTTAGTTTTAAATATTATACTGAATAAACAAATAAGCTTTAACATAAAAGCGAAATAGAAAGTTTCGGAAAAGTGTGTGAACAAGTCTTCAATTCATATAATATTACGAAGCGTAACGGTTATTCTTCGCGAACAATTCGTCGAAAACCGCTAGTCAGCACTTAACCCCTTGACGTATTAATTGGCGCAACAAAATTCGTCTCCAACTGTTCGCACAGAACTTGCACTAAACCAACCAGTTTTGATGCTTACCAACTGTCGCACACTTGTTTTACAAATTTACAAAAAATAAAATACTACGATTTAATTTTAATGCTTAACAAAAAACATGGCTACTTACACAGTAGATAGTGTACTCAACTGCAACAATGTTTTTTATTTACATTATTACCTGAAAGTAACGGGAAAATTTCAATTCTCTTTGCATCAAATGTACTCTTCTACACACCACGAGCTAGACTCGTGATAATAATGTTAGGCACAGAAATTGTACCACGAGTCAGACTCGTGGAAATACGTCAAGGGGTTAAGGAAGAGTCTTGACTTTTGGAAGACAGTGCTTTTAACAGACGAAAGCTAATTCAATATTTTCGGATATGATGGACCTTCAAAATTTTGGCGAAAACCAAACATGGTGGAGGCAGCGTGATGGTTTGGGGTTGTAGGGAGACGGAAACATGGTGTTTATGAGCAGAAAAATGCACAAATTACAGTAGTTAGAAATTTTGAAGCAAAATTTAAAACAGTCGGATGAAAAATTCGGTTTACCGGATGATTATGTTTTCCAACAGTACAACGACCCAAAACATACTGCGCATTTGGTTCGCGAATGGCTGCTAACAATTCGCGAAAACAGCTCCACTCTCCTCCACAAAGTCTGGACTTGAATCCCATAGAACAAGAATGCGATTATTTGAAAGAGAATCTTAAAAATCATACAATTTCGTCAGTGGTCACTCTACAAGAAAAAAATCCTTAAAAGAAGAGTGGAACAAGATACCAACTTCATTTAGAGCTAAGATACTAGTTTTTAAGTTTTAAAACAAATTCATCTTATATTAAATAATAATAATAGAAATTGATTACATAAATATGTAGCGTACGATGAAATATGACGCAAAAATTTTGTTCGGTTTATACTTTTTTATTTATCATTTTCATTCTGAAATAATATCAATTAATTTGCTTACGAATTATTTAACTTACAAACTTTCTTTTATTTATGGAAGAACTTTTTGCATTTGAGTGGATTGGAAATTGAAAATTTGATTTTAGATTGCCGTACGATAAAAACTGTAACCTAGCCAGCGTAGCCGATGTATCCTAATTCGCTGAACTATAAATATCGCCGTACATCTTGTCCAGCTCATCGTTCCATCGACTGCGATATTCGTCRTTGCCAATGCCTGAGAACCACAAAGCAAGACGGGAATAATGAATGACACTAGCTAGGTCATGTTATTCGGATGGGAAATAACATTCTAGCTTTGAAGGAAGCAGAAAAAAGGAAGACCTCCACTCCGTTGGAGAAATCAGGTACAGAAGAACCTGGATGAAATTGGTAACTCGAATCGGCACCAAATAGTGTAAAGAAGAAACGACTGGTGCGCTGCTGTATACTCGGCTATAATAGCGTAATCATGTCTACGACAATAAAGAAGAATTAGCATATGTGTCAATCCAAGGTATCAGCTAACTCCACAACAAATTTTATTAAAATGTTTTCAGCCATTTAGTCGTGAAGAAATAAAAAACAGATACACTCACAAACTTTCTTTATAATAGTAGTTTGATTTCATAAAATTTAATGTTTTGGAGTGTTTATGTAGGCAGTTTCACCCTTTTTCCAATTTTGGATATATTAGATGAAGGAGGGTGGASGAGTTGCAATTATATTTTACCCGTTTTTGTACTTTGGTTGATATAGCTTCTGTAGTTTGAGAGATATAAACACTAAAATTATTGGGAGGTGGTATCAAGAACACTTTCCAATATTTAAGCAGCAGAATTAAAGCAGTAAAATTAAAATTAAGGTTAAGGCTATTCCTTGCAAACATTTGCATATAAGTTCCTTCATCTCATTTAGCGAAAATAATATTTAAACGTAAATAACGTATACATCTGGATCAATTATTATTTTAAGGGGTTATCTGGACGGTTTTTTTGAAATTTTTTTTTATTATATAATAGAACTCTTTTTACACATCATAAGGTATATCATGGAGTGTATAAACAATTTCTTTTCCGAATTTTTTGATGACATCTGTCGGAGAAATGGTTGGGTGAATGAGATGTGTTTTTTCACTTATTTTCGGATCATCTGAAACACAAAAACCCAATTAATTCTTAAAAAGTGCGTTAATGGTTATCGTCCCTACTAGAATCTTGAAAAAATTATGATAAATTAACGTTTTTACATAAATTGTGTCAGAACATTCTCAATAAATAATTAGTAAGGACGATAGCCGGGCGTTTTGTGAACATTAATTTGGGCCTCGAAAACCTTACAAGGGTAAAGTGGATTTCTACATTAATTCTAAGGATATAAGGGAACAGAAAATGAAAAATAATGAAATTGATAAAAGCTTACCCTATTGACCCTTTAATGTAATTTAATGAACGCGAAGGATTTTCCGTATACGCAGCACATCAGATTTTGCCCCAAAGTCATCGTAATATAAATCAGAACTCATGTCCATTTTTATATATTTTACACTTTCGTGAGCAATAACTGAAGTCCTTACTCTTTTGATTGGCAACATGAATAAAACTGCGACCGAAAAAAGAGTTTGGCTGATCTGAAATTGAATTGTTCTATCTATTCTCTAATTCAACTGAGAAGAGTTGCAAACCGAGTATGTTTTATTGAAAGTAAAAGATGTTCCTTTGATAAATACGTATTTTACACCTGCCTTTCATTAAAACTATTTATTAAATATTACCAGTACGTTAAAATTTTAATATTCTGTCTATACTTGTCAAAACTAGAATACAATACTGGTACATATTATAGCTTAATATCTAATAAATTCGATTATCAATTATTGTCATGTCTTTAGAACTTAGTTGAGCAAATACCTTGATATCATTTTATGCATACTCTGAGCTACTAAAGGATCTTCTGTATCCATCCAAAGTTCTCCTGGTCCAATAATACATTGCCGTCCAACTTCCATGTAAAAAAGGCAATGTGAATCTCCACATCTGAAATTAAATTTAAAACGCGGAGTTGTAAAATAAACGTGTAGGTATACATATTGGTTATACAGTTTGTAAGGTTAATGTAATCATATACTTAAATATGCATATGTACATATGAAATGAAATGTAATAAATTTTTATTTTATTTTATTTTATTTTATTAAAGCTTACATAATAAATTAAGTGAAATACTACATCGAATTCAATCGAAACATAGGTGAGAGCCAATACTTAATGTAAACATAGTATTTAATTGCATGAACGGTACATAAATTATCAAAGTAGCTTAAAAAATAAAATTAGTAAAATAGAGAATATTAGAAATACAACCATTATGCCCAATTAATTTACAATCTTATGCAAAGCTAGAGTCATACTGATTAGAAGTTTTTATTCATTAAGGGGGTATTCTACTCTAGAATTTTGAAAAATTCGATTTTTTTCATATGTGACCTGGTCTACGGAAAGGGAGCTTAGGTGTCAAAAAATCAATTTTCACTTTTTAGGTGATTCGGATGGAAGATGAGAATGCTTTTTCACGTGATAGAAAACTAGTTTTCGCGCGTTAGCTCCCTTTTCGTAGACCAGGTCACATATATTTAAAGTTTAGACCCTTAAGAACATATCCTCCGAATAATTTTTAAAAATTAAAGTTATTTTAAGAGCTACAGTTACTTTAGTGACGCAGTACCTAGCCCGGTAGGTAGGTAGACTCACTTTTTTAAACATSTTTTTCTCGAAAGTACTTTTTTCCACACGGTACCGGCATTATCTCAAGTTCTATGCAACCGATTTACTTGAAATTTTGTGTGAACCTTCTTTATGTAATCCCTTATCGTTTATCTTTATATAATCCTTAAAAATTCAGGAATTTCAAAAAAAAAAGCGTGAAGAATTATTTCTTCCTTATTTCGAAATATTTTCAAGCAGTCGCCATTTTTCAAAAAAAAAAAAATTTCCGAGTTCCCTGAAATAGGGACTATAACAGCATCCTTACTGATTACGAATTTCTTTTGATTTTCTTTTCAGACCAGCATGCGCCATTTTTTTACACTTGTCTCTCCCCCTAGTTATTTTAATTTTTTGTAAAATTTATTCTTAAGATATCAATAAAAACACGATAAAAAATGGACAGTAAAAATATACTTTTTTTTTAAATATAATTCAAAAAACTGCCCAAAGTTTGAATAGTAAGATTGTATTTTATATGGTTTTTCCTTTTCCTTTTCCTTCTTCTTATTCTTCACTGTTATGGAAACTGCTTACGCGGTTATAACCGAGGTAACAACAGAGCTGGAGTGTTTTCGTCCATTCGGACGACATGACCCGCTGGTGGTTTTTTACTTAGTCCGAAGTAGCAACTGTTGGCAAGAGATATCCTGCGTTGGAGGATGACGTTATTGTCGGTGTTGATGCTGATTCTTAAATAGACGAAATTATCTAAGACTTCGAAGTTATGACCGGCAACAATGACGTGGGTGCATATCCATGCGGCGACTGTTTGTTTGATGACAGGAGATATTTCTTGTCTGTCTTGCCCTCGTTCACCGCCATTCGACCGGCTCGGAGAGATCGTTCTCGATCCTTACGAAGCTTTTAGTATTACTCAACGTCAGCTTACACAACCGTATTAGCTTTGCGGGGATACTAAATTCAGACATCGCGGCATAAGGCAGCTTGAAATCGACGAAGAGGTGGTGTGTGTCGATTCTCTTCCAAGACTTGGCGCATGGTAAATATCTGGTCAGTTGTTGATTTGCCAGGTCTAAAGCTACACTGATAAGACCCTATCAGTTTGTGGTTGAATAGCTCGCCCGATAATCCATAGGCCCCTGCTGCCCTGTTTTTCTTCAGACAGGTAATTGCTAATTGAACTTCTTTATGGTCGGCCAATGGAACGTCTTCTCCATCGCCATCGATTGGGGAATTRGGTTCGCCTTCAGCAGGCTGGAGAAGTGATCCCTCCATAATTTTAATATGCTCTGGGCATCGATTACTAGATCACCTCCTTGGGTTCTACAAGTTTATGCTCCGGTCTTGAAACCTTGTTAGCCGCCGCATTTTTTCGTAGAATTCTTGGCTGCAACAAGATAGTGATCCGAGTCGACGTTAGGAATTCGGAGCGTATGCACGTCTAGAACATGGGTGTCTTCCGTCTATCGCAACATGATCGATCTGGTTGGTTGTTTTTCGATCCGGAGACAGCCAGGTAGCTTGATGAATCTTCTTATGATGGAATCTAGTACTATAGATAACTATATTTCAAGCCCCGGCGAAGTCGGTCAGCCTCAACACATTTGGGGATGTTTCGTCGTGGAGGCTGAATTTACCGACCGTAGTGCCAAAGATACTTAGATGTTCGTTTACACGTTCTTTCATAGGAGTGAAGGATAGTACTCGGCGACAGAGTCTCTCTCCCACCACGAATCCTACACCAAAATTGCGCTTCTTTATATGGCCACTGTAGTAAATGCCACAAGGACCTACTTGTCTCAGTCCTTGTCCCGTCCATCGCATTTCTTAGACGGCGGTGATGTCAGCCTTTATTTTCACTAGGACATCAACCAGCTGGGCAGTGGCCCCTTCCCAATTAAGGGACCGGACATTCCAGGTGCATGCCCTCAATTCGTAGTTCTTATTTCGTTTGCCATGGTCGTCATCAAAAGTGGGGTCTCTCATCCGAGGCTGTTGTTGCGTTGTCATTGTGGGTGGTTTTTTTACGTGGCGGGTCCCAAACCCAGCGCACAACCCTATGCAGGGACAAACTAGCCCACTATTTTCTCACAATAATACAAGTTTTTTCGGTCAACATTACTGTCAGTAGATATTAAGAATAATTTTTCACTTTTTAGCAGAGCTCGCAAATAACAGTCGACCGTTTCTCGTTGTCTGCAAATAAGTGTCTCTCCCTGACTCTTTACGAAAAGACTCAGAGAGCAACCGTTTCAATCCCTATAACCGTTATATTCTGCTTTGTTCTGGTTGTTCCAAGACCGTTTCGTCGTGTTCAGTGAAGCAAAAAGTATTTTGTGTATGTATTGGTATGCATTCACACGCATAGACAAGCAAATCGTTAAACATCTGTTTGGGTGTGWGAAGTTGTGAAATATTTGTTGTGTAAAATGGGTAAAGACATGAATAAAAATGTGCACGAATTCTTTAAATTTAATTTCCAAGAGAACAAGTCAATTTGTAATGTAGAGCAGTTTGTCAGAGAAAACATGAGAGCACTTGTGAAGGGAAAGCTGGTGTCGCTGAAAATCGATGTTGCCACCAGAATGGATAAAACCGAAATTATTGTAAAGACTTTGGGAATTATTGAGCTCGGTTAATCTCACACTGTAATATATG